GATAGATAGATAGATAGATAGATAGATAGATAGATAGATAGATAGATGATAAACAGACAGACAGGCGCACATGACTGCGCACAACATACCTGCATTCCATCACAGTATTTTTCAGAACACCATCCAAGACCTCAAACGAATTGAGAACCTCAGCAGATCCGTGTGGCTCTGCTTGATCACATCTTCAATCCATGGTCTTAGTACGATCCATGCCTTCAACAAGACAGAGGACTACATCAATCGGTAAGTTTCCTGCCTGGTTCCAAATCCTGCTGTTGTTGGGGTTTCCTCCCGCCCTCTTTTTTCACTACCCATCTCTCCCCTCTTAAGTACTGGCTGTTTTACTCTTTTCGACCTGAGCACCGATCTCGTACCTGCCGCGAAATTGATGAAGCCTCTCCGCTATTGTGCTCCCTAAGTGGGAGATATCCAGTGGTTTTCCATTTGCAGAAAATGCCGAGCTGCGGGGAAGCTGCCTGATTGCCCTATGGATTCTCAGGATGGCCTCTTAAGTGCAGCCGTATATATATGACCCCCCCCACGAGAGCACTTTATATTCTTTCACAACCATTAAACTATTGTTAAGGTCTGGTTTCTAAAGCAACGGAATCCAACCTTCGAGTCTTCTGCCCATTTCTGGCAGAACCGGAGGCTCCCTGGAAAAGCCTCTAACCAGTAACTCAGTGGGAGGATAGGCTGCCTTTTCTGAGCCAGTAGAATAGAGGAGAGTTGGGTTGTTTTCTCACTATGCAACCTAACAGGGTGGGCGTGGCCATGGTGGGTGTGCAGTCTAGTTGGCCTCCTGCACAATGGCAGGGGGGCCATTTTTGTCCTCCCGGGGCTCCAGAGGCTTTCCTCAAGCCTCTGGGAAGGCAAAAACAGCCTCCCTGAGCTCCGGAGGTTCTCTAGAAGCCAGAAATGGGCCCATTCCTGGCCAACCCGAACTTCCGGGAGGCCCATTTTTCGCCCTTCCACATGCCCTGCATCCAAAACAGGCTGCGTGGGGACTCCTGGGAGGGTTGGGGTGGGTGGGGTGGAGCCAGCCAGGAGTGGGATTTGGGGGTTCTCCCAACTGCACAGAATCATAGCTAGGGGCTCTCCCGAACCCCTTCGAACCCCCAACAGCCCACCCCTGAATCTATCGCTTCTTCTAGGGTCATCCAACCATGGTTGGCTGAAAAGAGCAGTAACGAGGACAGACTTCATGGCAGTTTAGTGATAGATCGGTGGAGAAAATGCTTTAGCCCTCTTTCCCTAAGAGAGCTGTAATGGTACATGGGAATGGCCTTGGAGTCAGGAGGAAGAGTCTGAAAATGGTCAGATAAGCAGCATTTAAGCCCACAGGAGGGATTGGGGTGGAGAAAATATCTTGGAAGAAACCCTCCCTAGTTTTCAAGAGAGTGAAATTAAGGGAGGGGTTTTGTAAAATTTTAACAATACAATTAGTACTTATGGTAGGTACTTCATGTCTAGTCTACCTTCAAGGGCTGACAAAAGCTTACAAATACTTTGTGTAATAAGCTTGTCTGACAAATCTAATGAGGTCACTTAAATACCTATAAAGGGACACAAAACGTATTAAACTTAGGAACCTTGGTGCTCTCTGGACTCGGGGTTCAGTTGTTGTAAACATCGAAGCTCGGAGAGCGCTGAGGACCCCACAGTTCAACCCCGAGCTACAAATATTCTCTTCCATCAGTATATTAAAACTTCATGACTTCTGAGCTTCCTCGGCATGTCCTGACTTTGAACCAGAACACGTGTTAATTGAGCAACTAAGCTAAGCACGTTTTGCAAGTCCTGCCATGGAGACTAGAGACCTGATGTGGAGAAGGTTGTGGGATCCCACCACCATGGGGTCCTTGAGACACAAGTTGCCCTCTGCAGCCCTGCTCCTCCGAGAGAAAAAAGGAAGCTCACATTAAAAGAAGGAAGAGGTGGAGGAGAAAAACATCCTACCTTTCCCACCCTGCCCAAGGATGCAGACCCTAATATCTTTTTTTAAAAAAATTGACTACCATCTTATTCAACCAAAGCTAAAAGTCAGTAGCTTCTTGGATTGACCTTCCTATCCAAGCTGCAGTCTCCACTGTGGATTGTATGAATATTCATGGCTGCAGTTGTAGTTTTTCGAAGAGAGATCTTGGCAGGATTTCCCTTACCGTCAGGGTAGTCCCAATTCTCATCACTGCCCAGAGGAAGCAGACGATACTTACAGGAGGAGGAATTTCTTATTTCTAATACTGCCGTTCAGTTATTCGGCCTCTCTACGAAGGAGAAAGGAAAAGAGGTGATAGCTAGAAGGGAGATAGAGCCCTGACATAACACACATTTTGTGCATGTGCCTCAAGAAAGGTTCATGCCTCCTCCTCCTTTTCCCTTCTCCTCCTCCTCCTCCTCCTCCTCCTCCTCCTCCTCCCCC